GTGGACCTCTCCATGTTGAAAAGCTGCTCCATCTCATTGAAATTTGGCGTGTAGAACCTCGACGTCAAAAGGTCCCCTTGATTTCTTGTTTCTGGCTCTTTTTCTTCTTGGCAGCCTCTGTCGATCTCCTTCGTGTGCCGGCCTTTTTTCACCAGCCCACAGTGCATATCTATGTTATGACTATCTATGTTTATCGTAATCTTCCATCTATAATTCAGTAGCCATGAATAAGTAAGAGTTATGGTTGTTCATGACAACGTTGCAAGTTCCAAGCATATGCAACCAAATAGATGGTTCTCTTTTTTTTTACAATCTTTCCCAATTAAATCTAACTGTAAAATTGTGAAATTGTAACAAAGAAAATATGTGAAGCTCGTCAAGAAGGGGAAATTTCATTGGAAGGCCTAACTTATAGTATATGTATTAATTTAATGCCTGAATTTTATACTTTTTCAAAAGAAAGCTTACATTTTAGATTATTCTTACTCTAAGGCTTACTTTTTAGTTAACTTTTCATTATAAGGCCCAACTAACTTTATTGTTTCATATAAATATGTAAAACAACTATTATGTGAAGAAAAGTATTATTATTATCATTATTATTGTTATTATTTTGTAATTTATATTTTACATACTTATAATAAAAAAATAATAATTATCTTTAGTAAAAATATATTAATAAAAAATGAAAATATATAAATTACAATGATGCGAAACTATATAAATTATATTTATGCAAAAAGTTTAACAATGAAAAATTACATCATTGAAAATAGATGTTTATATAGTTTCTTTTTTAATAATATAATTTTACTATCTTAGTTTCCCATAATTGTAATTCTAATGTTTTATCATTGTAATTTATATAGTTTCGTTTTTATTAATATAATTTTACTAAATAAATTTTTTATTTTTTATTATGAGTATTTAAAATTCAAATAATAATAATAATACTTTTATTCACATAATAATTGTTTTACATATTTATATGAAAAAAGTAAAGTTAGTTGGGCCTTATAATGAAAAGTTAACTAAAAGGTAAGCCTTAAAGTCAGAATAACCTAAAATGTAAGCCTTCAGTTGAAAAATTATAAAATTCAAACCTTATTTTAATAAATATACTAAAAGTTAGGCCTTCCAATAGAACTTTCCCCGTCAAGAACTTGAACAATATTACCATCTAAACTAAACTGAACAAGTGATGTTTAAATGGGATTTGTCCCATTGACTTCATTTAGCTTTTTTTATTAATGAAAGTATTTTAGAAAGCACACTAATACTGTACTTTGGTCTCCAGACCCATTTTTCACATTACACTAATAAAGAGTTCACCGACCGGGCATAGTTATACGACAAACATTGCCAAATGAAACATCTATTGTCGATAAGAAACTTGAATATAAAGATCACGTAAATCTACACAAAGCTCTTTGGAAAACCCAACTTAACGGTTAGGAAACAAACAACAAATTAAACAACAATTATCTTGTATTGACATGAAAGCTTCAAGCAAATAAAAACGCTGATCAATCCCACAACACATTATCCAGAATTCCAAAACCAAATTACGTAAGGTACCAACTTAGTACCAGTGACAGAATAATTGTACTCTGTCGAAACAAAGAGTGCTATCAACAGCTAGAATCTTCTGGCTAAATGCCTCTACAGTGCGTGGGTAGGTCCCATTTACCTCAAGATCCTTGTAGAGAATTAGTAATGGTCATATGTCCATATACTCAATCTCCAACCCCTTGATATACTTGGATAAATTCATGGCTAAATAGTTGACACCCACAGGTAACATCAATAACTGGAATTTTTGATCTCAGCGGTTAAAGGGGGAATGTGGTCGAGTTTTAGATAGAAAAACTTTAACCAAGAAAGACTCTTAACCCAAAAAATTTATTTTATTTTAACCAAAAATAAAATAAAAACTTTAGCAAAGACTGCTTGCCACAAAGTTGAAGCGTGTACAAAACAAACAAAAATTTCATTTAGATACCTGTGGATCACTATCCTCGCGCCATATCTCAGGCGCTTCATGTCGGTGGAACTGTCGGAGTAAAACGGTGGCGCCTTGGGCAATTCTACTATTTCTAGAAGAGCTTGGGGATGGTGGAATGTCGACAACGACTTAGATATGAGTTCGCCATTGAGACGCTTGAGGTCGAGGTAGTCGGCTGCGGAGCTGGGGTCGCTGGAAGAGAAGTTGCAATTGGAGCAGGAGGAGGGCGCGAACAATGGAAAGCAATTGGAGGGGGAAGAGGTAGCCTGTTTGTAAACTAATTTCCAGTCTCTCAAAATCAATAAGCATTCTCATTCACCCATATCGACAGCTAAAAATTGTAAAAAGAAAAAATACATATAGATTGATTATGACAGTACAATAAGCTATGCATATAACGAAACTAATTCAAATAGCATTCACCTATGCATTTACCGTTAGCCTTCACAATGGTCGCATTCAATAATCAATACTTAACTACATTTCTTATTCACCACACTTAAACCAGATCTTGCTCACTTATCCAACAAACTACCACAGAAAGTACAAAGTTTTATCTCATACGCCTTCACATTCTTCAGCGGCCCCAAGACAAAGAACAATTAGGGAAAAATCAAAGCAAATAAAACCCTAACAGTTCATCTAATGTCACCGCCTAATTTTAGCAAATAAACCACACAAAAAAATCTAAATATAAACGTAAAAAATTGCATAGCATATCTGGAGAATGTTGGTGTAATTGAACTCTTCCCTGAGCAACGGGACGGTTTTCTCCAGGTAAGTAGTCTTGAGTCGGCTGACTTTCTCGGCCTCAGTTTTATCCACCAGGACGATCGATGACGGAGCATTGAAGAAAAAGGCGGCGCGTCCGACCACTGGGGAAGGTGACGGAGGGAACCCGAACGCCGAATCGACCGTCGAATGACTTGGTGTCCGCTTCGTGGCGCTTTCGGTAGTTCTAGCCCATGGTGGCGGCTGCGGGTGCTCAATGGCTAGGTTTACATCGGTGTGATTTTAATAGTTCAGAGGAAGAATGGGGAGAGAGATAGAGAAATGGGGTTGTTGATAAAGTGAATAATATTTTTCTCAAACTTTTCAGGTCATCTCCAACCGAATACACCAAACTCAAACCCATTTTGCAGTACACATCCCATTTTGCAGTAATTCATCTCCAACCGAAAAACCTATTTTCCAACCCAAAAGAATATTCTCGGAATATTCTCTTTTACATCAACTTTCACAACTTTTCAATACTACCCACATATTTTACAACTTTACAAATTAAACCACACTATTATATTCAAATTAGTGTTTTCTTTTATTGTTTAATAAAAATACCATAAATAATATGTATATTTTGCATTATTACTGTGAAATATATAAAATTAAATGATAAATATAATATTTATCATTTTAAATATTATACTATTTAATTTTTATGAAATAATTTATATTACTATTTTACATTATTGTGAAAAAAATTAACATTAATATGTATAATCACTTTATTATGAACAAATATAAAATAATATCATATTAATTATTTTAAATATCATATTTATAATTTTCACGAAATTAAAAAAAATTATATTATTTAAACTTAATATTCAATTTAAAAGATTGTTTAAATAAAGAAAATCCAAAAAACAAAAATCAATTTATAAATTAAACAAATTTAAAGGACCTAAATGTAAAAAAAAAATGAAACGCAAAATTTGCGTTAAGACGCAAAAATGCGTCAATCTGAGGAGAGAGAGGGTTGGGATCGCAATTTGCGATCAATTTTTGGGATCGGTTGGAGCTCCCCGTACTGCAATTTTTGCGTTTTGTAGCACGGTTGGAGAAGGTCTCAGTCAAATGGTTTCGTGTCTTGGGAGTGACGTATGACAGCTACAACTTTAACTATAATGACCTTAATAACCCTAAAAAGTAGAAAAAGTAAAGGGTAATTTAATCAACATAAAAAATATGCTTGAGAAAGCATCAAACTGCCAAATCGAATAAAAATAGTAAATGAATTCAGATTTTGAAAAGAAGAGTCATGTTTCATCCCTGAAGTGAATTTGCCAAACCACAAATACGCCACGTGTCGTGTCAAAAATGCGCCACGTGTCGTGCCAAAAATGTGTTTACATTTTTTCTTATAAGAATAAGTATATATATATATATATATATGTAGCAAAATTTAGTCATGGATTTTCTAGATTGTAACATATTTTGAGGTTTACATGGACCAATTGTGCATCTGAGCCTTTCAACTATACATCCATTTTTTTTTCCCATTTTAAGGCATAAAAGCTGATCTTAAAATGTGCTTAACTTAATCCACACTATATTCTATATGCATTAAGTAATGAAATTTTTGGCTTATCAATTAGAGTGATAGATGGAAATAAAGACAAAATTCACATGAAACAGCAAGCATCTTTACACACAGAATAAAGGAACAAAAAAAAAAAGAAAAGCCACTGAAGTTATGTATCAAAACACTGAGCATTGATCCATGAAGAAGAAGAAATCTAAATATTCCCTTGTTAGCTTCTTCCTTAAATTCTTTCTACTGCATAATGAAAAAAAAAAAAGCCGATAAATCGACCAAAATTTCCGAAAATAATCATAATTCTGTCCTTTTAGTCCAAAAGGGAAGAAAGAGTATATTTATCAAGTGCAAATTGTTACTGATCATGCCTATGCTTTCTTCATGGCATCCAAAATTTAACTTCCCCAGTTCACAATACCGTCCGGCATCCAAATTTAACTACGCGTCGCCTCGAAATTTATTCGTAAAGGATTTTCACCCAACTATATGCTCAAAATCTCTTTTCCCTCCAGCAAACCAGGTGACAGAAGTAACCTGCATTATATAGATATATATATATATATTTTTTTTTTTTATCTTTATCACATTCTAAAATATATTATAAATACTCGGCTATACTTCTTGAATAATCGAAAGCTCTTTTTTTTTTTTCGAAACATTTATCGATCAATACCCATGTTGTTTCTTTCCAAGAACGTAAAATGTGTTCGATTAGTGCATCAGAGTGTGGCTGCAATCGTGTTCGGAGATGGATCGTCACCTCATTCGAGACTCTATCCGCTCACAAAGAGGCGATCGGAAGCCGCCATCCCTATAGCCGGAAACTTCCGGCTGATCGATTCCGTTATCAGCAACTGCATCAACAGCGGTATTACCAAAATTTACGCCATCACGCAATTCAATTCGACTTCTCTTAACTCCCACATCTCGAGGGCTTACTCGGCCACCTCTCGCCTCTCGAACGATGCCTTTGTTGAGGTCATCGCCGCTTACCAGAGCCCGGAAGGCAACGACTGGTTTCAGGTTCGAAAAAAAAAAAAATGGCGTGATTAGGCTAAAACTCAAGGATACATTCGTAAATAATATGGCCATGCATGTTCTTTCCTCTGTTTTTAGGGAACTGCAGATGCTATAAGGAGGTGCCTATGGATGCTTGAAGAGTATGCAGTAGACGAATTTTTGGTTCTTCCGGGCCACCATCTTTATGAAATGGACTATAACGGGCTTTTGGACGAGCATAGGAGAAGCAAGGCTGATATAACCGTATCGGTTTTTAGCAGAAGGAAGGATGAGGATTTCGGTTTCGGCATTTTCGAACTAAATGCGGAGAATCGAGTTGTTGGGTTCAGAGAGAATTCTGAAGCATCCACACCAATATCAGTAATATTGTTACATCCCCTTAACTTGCATCAACTTTTTTTTTTTCTCATATACTTTAGCTTTTATATCAGGTGGGGAAGAATTCGATAAATTTTGATCAGGTCTCGACGAACAATTTTCCGAGCATGGGAATATATGTAATTAACAGAGATGTAATGGTAAAGCTCCTGAAGGAATATTTTCCGACAGCGAATGAATTGAAAAGTCAAGTAATCTCGGGCGCAATTTCTCTTGGAATGAAGGTCTTTTTTTTGTCTTTTTTGGTTCATTAACTGTATAGGTGACTCTTATGAATGATTTTCACAGTTTTTGGTTTTTTTTTTTCTTTCTAAAAACTTGGTAGGTTCATGGCTATGGCTTCAATGGATATTGGGAGGATATGAGAAGCATAGAAGCTTACTACCATGCAAACATGGATACCCTTCAAAGGACAAATAAAGCTTTCAGGTAGATAAATGCACAAATGGACAACTAAAACGATCATTTTTCCATGGACCTAAGCAAACGAATCAGCATTCAATGTTCGGCTGAGCTTAGTTTTCTTAGATAAAATGGATTAAGTTTGAACAAACACCAATCGAGTGCTGATGAGTAAAGATAAAACAGTAGTATATAAGGTGAAAATATCTACTTCTTGGTCGTTTCGATAGAAGCTCGTGTATTTTCAGTTCCATCAGTAATCAAGTCAAATTCAAAAACAAGCTTTACATCTATTATAAAAATTTCAGATAATTTTGGACTCGTTTATTGTTAGCAGCTTGTATGACAGAGATTCTCCTCTGTACACATTGCCACGTCATCTGCCTCCAACTCTAGTGGCCGATGCTGTCATCACGAACTCTTTCATTGGAGATGGCTGCATTCTCGGTGTACGTTAAGAAAAAATACATATTTACTGTAAAATTGGTGGCCTTTTATTGCCACTGTAATTTCCTTTTTGTTCTACTGTTTGCTCAGAAATGTAGGATAAAGGGCACAGTAGTTGGTATGAGGACTAGAGTTGAAGACCATGCAGTTATTGAGGACTCAGTCATTATGGGATCTGATACTTATAATCATGTAAGTAAATTGCATACGTATGTCATCTTTTTTTCTTCAGTTTGGAAGGAAATTATTGAAAAATACACCACTGAGGTGCAGAATGGCAGTGGTATGAGTGAAGGGGAAAGCAATGGCATTCCCATCGGGATTGGAGAAGGTTCGTACGTAAGGAAAGCTATAGTCGATAAGAATGCGAGGATTGGCAAGAATGTTAAGGTTTGTTATTCCAAAACAAAAAAATGTAAAAACAATCTAAATATTTTGCTCGTTTTTCACATGCATTCAACCGGCTTTTCTCTTGTTCTTCTCTTTTATATTCAGCGTTGGCTAGCTATAGCCAACTTCGTAACCGGGCATCTTATTTTGGTGAGATTTTTCGCGCATGCAGATTATAAACAGGGACAGTGTGCTGGAGGGTAACATGGAAGAATATGGGTATATCATCTCAGGAGGAATAATTGTGATTATAAGGAGTGCTGTGATTCCTCATGGAAGCATACTCTGAAAAATTTTATCATTCACACAATGAAAAGTCGATTATCATTTGTTTTTATTAGATTAGAATCATTAGATTTAGATATGATTCCATCACCAGCAAGCACTACAAAAAACAAGCACCTTTTGGAGATATATCTCAAGTGCCAACAGCCAGAACAAGGAAGAATAACTTTGTATCTCATACAAAATATTGGTGTGATTTAGAAAAATCTCTACATGAAAAAGAAAAAAAAAAAAAAGAGCTTTCATTGTGATTCCATTCCATAACTCCATAATCCAGGAAGAGCCAAAATCGCGCCTTACGCCAAACAAAATATAAAGGGCAAATGATTCTACAACCGATAACAATCATCAAAAGTCAATAACAGATGTTTTTGCTCTTTAAAGAAAAAAACACAGATAATTCCTTCTTATCCCCTTTGGAATGGGAAAATTACATAAACAGATTGGGCCTGGATGCCTTGTAAGTGGTCTTGAGCTTCCTGGTGGGTGGCCTCACCTTCCTGAACACCAAAGGGAACTTGATCTTAGAGTCATGAAACTGCTTGGTGCTCTCCCTCTTGCAGAGCTTGGCCGGGATGGTGGCAGTCTTGATGATCTGAATGCAATGGTGGCGAACCCTGTGTCGAGAAGCCATCTCAGTGTACATTTGCTCCACAGCACCATTCAAGGTCGTGTCACGATACTCCTTGTACATGTTGTGGTAGCCTGTCCGACTCTGATACCTCAGCCAGATACCATAGTTTTTGATAGTTGTCGGGTTTTTCTCAAAGATCTGCAAAAACAAACAAGAAAAAGATCAATCGATGGATTTCGTACCCTCTTAATAGAAACAGTTTATTCTAGTTTTCTCTAGCAGATGTAAAATGTGTTCAAACATCACTCGGAACCAAATGCGAGCATCATATTGCAGGAAGAGCTAATAATATTATATTATCATCTGGCTAGAGATACTGAAATACCACTGGTCCAGAGGCAGGTGCAGAGTGTTCTAGAAATGTCACGAGAGAATGTACCTCATTAATGGCAAGAACCTGACCGTTGCTCTTCTTCACCTTCTTTAGTTTCCTCAAGAAGTACCTTTGTAAAGTAAAGTCAACCAAAGACCGTTTCAGTGAAATTAGCCCAAACAAAAACAGTTATAAATCAGCAGCCATTCCCAAATAATCCCATGTGGTGAAATAGCTGTACACTAAGTAAATAAGAACAGTAGTATCAATCTTATATTGTCAGGAACTCAGGCAGAACATGACTAGATAAAAATGCAATCGAGCCCTGTGGGAAAATACCAAAACTTCTTTAGACAAGTTATACTATGCCAAGGAAACCAACTGAGGGAAGAGTAATGTGAATTTCCAAACCTTCAAGTAGCTTAATCCTATACTGTAGTTAATGACTCGGACACCAATTTCACAGTAAAACTTGTGCTGCAATGTAACATAGTACCACCACAGATTGATCAAGTCAATTATGTGATCCATCACGGTAGGCATTACAATTAGTTACTCACAGTTAGATTAAAAAAGCGCTCTTCACTAGAATTCAACAGCCAATACTTCTCTTGAACAAATTCTTGAGCCCAAAATGCAACTAACTATATTTTCAGCATGTTCAACATATTGTGAGAAACTCATTTCACCAACATACAGAAACTTGAAACTTTCAAGATAAAAGGAGTTCTGTACTATGTAGTTCAGAAAATTGCGTATTTCGGATATTTTTACTATATTTAAAAACATTGTGTTTCTTCCATAAGGTAGATAGGAAAACATTCAGCAGTTATCCAACACTAATTATGTTCTAACAGCAATGCTTTTACCATACTAAGCAACCCAGCTCCTTCACAGATAGAGAAATTCAACCCTCATACATAAACAAGCAATAAACAGACATTAAATGCTAAATAGGAGTTGAAATTTACAAGAAAAAAAAAAAAATCTAATCCTCTCTATCAAAGAGCAAACAAAAGAATCTGCCTTTCTGAGCTGCAAAAAGTTATTCAAATGCCACCATGTATTCAAATAAGCTCCATTTCAACAGAATCTTATCCAAAGAGAAGCTCCATGAGCTATAACACCAAACTCACAGAAAAAAAAGGATCTAAGATAAAAACAGTACCAGAATTTGGACTTGGCGCGAACCTCATTGGTGGCCCAAAGCTTCATACGATAGATCTTCGGGTGCTCCTCCGTCTCCGTCGGCAGAGCTCTGCCGACCACCTGGTACTGATGGAACTGCGCCAGGTACAACACGCATGAAAAACGAACTAGTCAAATACAGGAGCCAAAAATGTACGAAGATTCACCAGAAACAGGTAGAAATTCAAACAATATACACGATCAATCGTACCCTGTAAACCACCATTTTCGGCTCTATTTGCCGACTCTCTGCGTCTGCGATGGCGAATGCGTCAAATGGTAAAAGCTTTTTGGGGGGTTTTGTGGTTAGGGTTTTGTGTATCTTGGGCTTTTTATGAATGTTGGACCAGTGTGGCTTGGTTACAATATCCATTCGGGCCCAAATCATTTTGTAACGATAAAGGCGAAATTTTGTACATACCACAAGATTTTAAAAAAAAAATCTATACTTATATTATAACCAAACCTATTTACTAATTTCAGTATGCAGAATAGTCAATAATAATTAATGACTTTCTAATCTTATCAAGTACATTAATTACGTGTATTTTGTTTTCAATTTTATCTCATTCAAACAGTTTTGTAAAAAAAATCTGATAAGATCAATAAATAAAACTTGTATGGAAATATTTGATCACAAATCTGTTCTTATCTTTTTTTTCAAGTTGAGCGTGTATTTTTATTTTATCTCAGATTTCTTTGTTTTTAAAATTCCATATTATTAAGGAAATAAATCACGCTCTTTCTTTCACAAATAAAAACAGATTTACAACTAAGATAAATAACGCGTCTCATAGTATTATGCAAAGAATAATTTGTAATTATCTATACTTATATTAAAGGGGATCCTATTTACTACATATAGTAGGTAGAAAAGTCAAACTTAATTAATGAACTTCTATTTTATCAAGTAGTAATTAATGTATTTATAATTCATGCTGACATAAAAAAATCCTTCTTATTAACATAAAAAAATTTGTACGTAAATCCCATAAAAAAATCCTTCTTATAAATTTATGCTGAACTTCTAAATTTTAATCTTTCTTATCTTGACTTAAAAAATCCCATAAAATCGGGTGAGCAAAAACAATCAAACTCTATACTTATATAATAAGGTATCATATTTACCAAATTTAGTAGGTTAAAAAGTCAACGTAATTAATGCATTATTATTTCTATCCAGAATTTTACTTAATTATTTTATTTATTTGTCTTATATCCCACAAGATCAGTTTAAGAAAAAATATCTCATAACAAATAAGTGAAAAAAAAAAGACGTAAAATCTTTACCAAAATAAAAAAGGCTTTATTTATTTGTCTTATTCCATATTAACATCGATTTTGTCAAAACAAATCCCATAAAATCGGTGAAGTCAAAATTTGTACGTAAAGTCTATCTATATTAAAAAAAGGCAGATTCAAAATTTCTTATTTAGTTTCTTCTTTTCTTTATCTAATTCCTTCTTATTATCTAATTGTATGGAAATCTATTCTGATTTCGTTCAATTCTCTAATTGTATTTGTATTATAACCCATAAAATCGGTTTAACAAAAAAAAACCCATAACATTTGATAAGTAAAAAAAAATACGTAAAATCTTTACTAAAATAAAAAGGCTTTATTTATTATCTAATTGTAGAAATCTGTTCTGATTTTGTTCAAACCGATTTTCGTATATTCAAATTCAGATTTTCTAATAAAAATATTAACAACAATATATATCTACTCTACCCATTATAAATTACAAATCTCAAAATATCGAGTCATCATCTTCCTCACTATCAACCTCCTGCGAACAAAAAATATATTCCCAATCAGTATTTTATTGTAAAACTTTTATTGAATATTGCATCTTATAGTATAATAATCCCCAAATAAATATATCTCGTGCCTCGCACATGTCACGTACTATATATATTCCGTATATTTTTTTATTCATTTATATAATTATAAGGCTGGATAAATGACTTTAAAATTGTGCACCCCGTGCATCGCACGGGCTCTGTACTAGTTGTAAATATACGAGGTAAACATCTTAATTGCTTGGATACCTATTGAATTGCTTTTATTTGTAAATAAAACATAAACTTCCGTTACTTTATTGATCCACTTTCCTACAATCACGCAAAGAGTGGATAAGGTAAGTGTGTTTTACCAAATAATCCGTATTATCTATTCATATCTAATGGAAAAAGAGTTAAAATATGAAAATTCAAACGTATGACAAAACACGAGAAAAAAATATACACAATATACACGGTATAAAAAAATCAGTCTCTTTTGATGAACTAGATATTCTCAGTTACAGAACATATACAAAACATATACATCTCCTCATACATGATATCATAAAATCAGTCTCAACAAATCTGAAAACGAAACTTAGATACTTCCAGCTACAGAACATATACATAACATATACATCACCTCATCGTCAATCCAGTTTTATTGCAGAACATAAATAAAACATATACAGAACATGTATTCAGTGCAGACATATTTTTTAGGTGTTGTCGGCGTGAAATTTTTTTATTATTGTCGCCGAGGTCCGACTGAAAATGGCCCAAATCAAATGTGGATCGGCCCTTTCATGATCTAGATCTAGTTTTTTTTTTTCTTTTAATACAGTGAATTTACAAGGGGATGATGCAATCTAGATCTTTATCTTTTTTTTTTCTTTTGCTACAGTGAATTCGCAGGGGAGAGATAGAGAGGACAACAGATTTAATAAAAAGAGAGAGAGAGGACCGCAAAATATGCAAGAGAGAGAGAATCATGTGCAATTAATATTTTAATGTAGGCATGCTTATCTTGTACATATACAAATATTTAGGGTTTTAAGGTATATATACAATATTTTATTATTTGACTGGTACACAGGGTAATTATCTCTATTTTATTTAAATTTTTGTTAAATGCGAAAATTACCCAATGAACAAACTAAACAAAGAAATATTGCACATATAATTATAAAATAATTTATTTGCAAATATTTTAAATTTTTCAAAAATTATAGCACAAATACAGGATATACTTACAACCTTTTTTTTTTACATATAATTATTAAGGAGGTGGTTTTTGAATGGTAACTTCCTTGGGCCGCAGAAATTGATTGTGGTGATGGAGAGGACATTTGGTTCTAGCCTCTTGGAGTTATCTGTGGTGGTCTTTCGGGGGAGGCTTCAGGTCCGTCAGTCTGATTCGAGTTAGTAGCAGGGGGAGTTTCTTGACCCTTGTTTTTTTGGGCTAGGGGTTTGGAGCCTCTTCAATTTTTCGCTTTGGATTCGCTTGGGTGGCGAAGGTCCTGGGTGCTTGTCCGGTTGGCGGGGAGGATGTTCTTTCTAGTAGTCTGTTTTTGTATGTTTGTTTCGTTGTGTGTTTTTGTTTTCAGTGGTTAGTTGTGTGTTTTTTGTTCTGTGTTTTTTTTCGCCCGTTTGGCTTTGTAGTATTATCCATTGTTCTGAAAATCGGACAGAACCGGCCAATTCAACCGTTGGATTGGGAACCGGCCTTCATTCCGGTCTGGTTTGAGCCTTCATACCGCTATGCAGGAGAACCGGTCAAGAACCATCCGAACCGGTACAAAATCGGTTGAACCGGTGAACCGGGACCGGTTCGAATGGTTCACCGGTTCAAGCTATGAATTTGAACTTTGTAAATTGTGAAGTGGTTTAAATAGCATACATTTTTTACTTTTATTTCGTATGTGAGATGTGTTTCCCTGCTTAAATTATTGGCCAATATTGGGCCTAACAAGTAAAATTGTACTCAGTAAGAATATGTATTGTTATTTGAAGTGGATTATCTATTGGATTATTTTTATTCCCAATTTTTTTTTAAAAAAAGAAGAAATTTATTATTGAACTAAAATAAGAAAAAAAGTTATATATTGTAAATTATATAGATTACAATTTTAAATATAAAACTAAAATAAGAAAAAAAAAAAGTAAAAACATTATTCAACATTGTCGGTTGTATATATTATTGAACTCTTATTTAGAGAATGTCAAATACTATAAAATTATTAATAAAATATATATAGTTATATATTATACATGTAAAATAAATAAAAAATTATATATCAATTAAAACAGTTCGACCGCTGGTCCGACCACTGAACCATTGAACCAGTATCTTCACTGGTTCGATTTTCAGAACAATGGTATTATCATGTTAAGAGCTTGTGTGTTTTAGGTTTGTGTGTTGTAGTTGAGTTAGTTCGGGCTATCTGCTTATGAGGTTTGTTTTCCCACTTAGATTAGTTGTTTAGTTGCCTTCTAATTTATGAAGTGAAAGCTTATCGTTGTGTGTTTTTGTTTTCAGTGGTTAGTTGTGTGTTTTTTGTTCTGTGTTTTGTTCACCCGTTAGGGCTTTTTGTAGTATTATCCTGGTATGAGCTTTTATGTTTAGGTTTGTGTTGTAGTTGGGTTAGTTCGAGCTATCTGCTTATGAGGTTTGTCCTCCCAGCTACATTAGTTGTTTAGCTGCCTTCTAATTTATATAGTGAAAGCTTATCGTTCCAAAAAAAAATAAAAAAAATCGATATCCTACTCAATTTTGTTTCTATCCCTACATGAACTAGTTGAAGGATTCTTAACATAAAGTGAAGCATTAAGATATGCTGGGTCAGTCCCCCCTCTCAATCCCAATTCCTAGAGGAGAGGGGTCTTATCATGCCGGCCTAATGAGTACCAACCCAAATGGGATAAATTTGTTCTTGCATTAGTTCTAATCATGGTATCACCTCAAATGGCCACTCTTTATTCCACCCACCGACCACTGGATTATACATCATGGATTACATTAACCATGTGACTCCACTCATGAGGCTGATATTAACTACTTTGTTAGTAAAACAAACAAAATGGCAGTCATGTATTGGAATAGTTTTTAAGGTAAAATATATGTTTTTTGCAACATGTACAATTTGGGGTTTTAGGTTTTGCAAGAACTTGTTGTTGTGCACGGTCGATCTCATGACACCACATGTCGTCGAAACAACTTGCCAACCGTACATCTGTCTTCCCCTATTACATCATAGTACAAAAATCTTTAACTATTATAATTAACCCCAATAAACCAATCTTATTATACATGTCCTCCTCGGACTCGAACCCATGACCTGCCGGTTATAGGTGAAGCGTCTTATAAACAGGCAGATGTTGTCACACATAAATTACCCAAAAAAAAAAAAAAAATAGAAAAGTCTCAATCTCACCTAATAAAAATTGGTGTGAAAAGATTACCTAATCTTTTTACCCCTAACTTTTTCTCTACAACAAGCCAAGCCAATTTTGCAAGGGGTGGGGGGGGCTCCAAGGGGTGAAGAACCAAGACACAATTTGCAAATTCCTTGAAAAATTCACTCATATATTCTAACCATGAAAAATAGTTTTTCTTTTGTCAGCAGCCCCCCACTTGTTTCCTGTCCCCATTCACTGAATCCACCCCTAGTATTCTCTTCTAGGGGTGGTGTTTTTCTTGTAATCTAGGACAAAGCATTTATTGATTTTACTTATATAACTAAAATATAGAAAAATGTTGCCATCTCGTCATAAAACCATTCCGTCGAGTTTGTAACCGTTTGATCACCGTGTAATCGTCAGAGATAATTTCTGATTTAACGGTAGCAAACCCCGACATAATAATTTCATAATAGGACCGTAGCATCTCAGTACAATATATATCACTTTAATATCAACTACCAAAAACTCCATTCCAAATCCCATTTTGTCATAATAAACCCCAAAAAGGCAACAATTCCAACCCAACAAGTGACATTTGACTATAACAATGCCCTTATATACCATCTTCTTTCCTCTTTCATTCAAATTTTCTCTCTTGTTAGTCTTCTCTCCCATCAAAACTCTCTTTGTTTAAGACAGTACAGCCCAACAAAGCCACCCAATAAGTTCAATTAAGTCTTATGTTATTTATGTGTGCTCTGATTTTCTCTGCTAGCTTCTTTATCTTTTTCCTACAACCTTAATCCTCCCAAGAATCAAGATTGGATTTTTATGAATAAAAGTTAGATTCTTGACAAGGTAAAAAGGAAAAGGGGTCAGTGTATATGTGAAATGCTCTTGAAGGGAGTTAGTGTGTGCACTATTTGGCACCTCAATTTCCACACCTACCACAATCTTGATCTCAGCTTCCAAGATTTGCAAAAAGATTTACAAGCTCTATAGGTACATATGCATTTTCTTGCATCAATTAAGCTAGATTTCTTATGTGAGCCTTGTTTTTGGTTAATTCAGTTTCTGGGTTTCTTTTTTATTTTTATTTAAAACTGAATTTCTTTTTTATTTTTATTTTCTTAAATCTTTAGTCATGCTAAATATTCCCATATCAGATATATGAGATCAATTACCGTCGGGTTTGTAACAGTTAGATCTAGGGGCGGAGCCGGTGGCTGGGGTGGGCTCCAGCCCAGTCTGGTTTTAAAAATTAAAAAAAAAAAAAAAAATTAGCCCATTTTTTACTTACTAGCCCAGGTCAAATAAATGTTAGTGTCTCATAGCCCAGTATAATTTTTTTTTTTTTTTTCTGGCTACGCCCCTGGTTAGATCACGACGGTTACATGATGATCTAATGGTTACAAATTTCGACGGGGTGGTTCCGTATCAAGACTGTAGCATTTCCCTAAAAAATATTTCTTATTGATACATGGCTAAGATGTAGTTAAAGTGTGGTGATGCCTTATGAAGCACTCAAATATTTGGCTAGTTTTTGTTGTTCTTCAAGAAAATTGGAATTAAATGGGAAAGACCTCTGAAATTCTTTTAGTATTGAATCTCTTAGAATAGTTATATAATTCGAATTAGAGCTTCTATAACGATTTATGGGTTGGTTATAGCATTAGCACTTTTATTCTCAGAAAACACAATTTTCTTCTTTCTTTTTTTTTTTTTCTAACCAATGGTTTTCTAAACTTGGGGCAGTTTTGAAGTACAAATTTTCAAGTAAAATGGATGCAGAAAATTCAAAGGGCCACCGCGTAAGTGCGCAAAATCTCCACTATCCGAGCACGGTCGTGTGTGTTAGGAGGTTCAGTCGTGTTCGGCCAACCGAGCAGAGTAAATTGGACTACAATAGCCGAATCTCGTTTTCGCAAGGGCAAAAGGGTAAAATGTCCCGTTACTTCACGTTGGAGTCGATGTTTGTGCTCGTCTGCCTGACGGCGTCGCTGCTGATACTGCCGCTGGTGCTGCCGCCACTGCCGCCGCCGCCTTTCATGCTGCTTTTGGTGCCCATTTGTATATTGGCAGTGCTGATGATGTTGGCTTTGAGGCCGGCTAATGCAAGGGACGCGGCTTGCGCGGCCTATGTGTAATGCTTGTATAGTTTAATTGTGAGTTTGAGTTGTGACCATGTGTTTTGACAAATCAACATATTGTGTTTTGGGTTAGGGACATAAGAGCTTGATCACGCTTATGAATCCTTTGCCCAAACCTAGTGTGAATGAGGTTTTCTTTCATATCATTGAATATGACAATAGATTTATGTTAATTTTGTAATAAATCTTGATTGTTTCTACTAATACTAATACATATGAGAAAATGAATCTCTAAATGAAAAAAAAAACACTAAAATGACCAAACAAAGACTTAATGTATATTATAAAAGTATAAATATATTCCCCTGCCCACAGTGGGCAGTGCCCACTAGTTTGTTTTATATGAAAAACGTATTCTGAGAATACGTTTTTCAATTACTGCCCACCGTGGGTAGGTGAGCGGGACTGTATAAAAGTATTAGTTATTTTATTCATTTATGTTAGATGATGCAAGAGTGCTTTTATTTTGGTTTTGACGTTCTCCTAAGAAATATTTATACCGTTGGAGTTTAATGCATAAATTGTATTGCGAAATTCTTCTTAATTCATTTTACAAAACATCTACTTTATTTAAACAAATAAAGATGTTATGGCAAAACATGTAGGCAAAATTTATGATTGTATGGTCTTTACAATATTTTTCTACTACCAATTCATGAATATCGTCCCTATAGGCTCGAGTGCACCTTTATTCTCCTGTTGGGAGCGCACTCGAATATTCTCCTGTTGGGAGGATCCTTTAGTAGTTGTTTGTAGTTGTTCCGTTCGTGTTTTGTGTGGTTGGTATTCTCGCGTTGCGAGCTGAATTCCGTTTAGGTTGCAGTGGTGATATTGTAACCTCGCAGTTACTCAGGATTCGGGCTTTGCTCGTGTACATTGCCATTTGGCTTTTTAATGAGAATTTTATGTCGTTGGAAAAAAAAAATTCATGAATATCTCTGTGAAATAATCATGTCTTTAAAATTACTGATTTTTTAATCATTATATAAATTGCTTCACTAGTGTTCACACATATAAACAAATTGATACCTACCCCATGAAGGCATCCCCCAACAGGATGGAAATGAATTTCATCTCCAAATGAATGTTGCCTTTACAAAATCTCGGTTACATGCACTTCTCGCTAAATTATTTTTTAAAATCATCAAATTACATAAAAGTGCGTACTCTGTAGTAACTAGTATCTGATCATGTGCATTTGCACATATATAAAACACATTTTTTGTTTGTACTTATTAATTATACTGTACTTCTATCATATAAAAATCATTACTCTTTCTTAAGTTATTTTTATCATTCAAAATTGATTGAGATATAAACTTTATTTTAACCATGCAACGTTTAAAATAATTTATATATTTGTGGCATATATTAAGAAAATTAATATAAATAAAAAAAGTTATTAGTGTTTCTGATCTTTACAAAAAAATGTGTCAATCATATTTTTCTTCCAACAATGCAACCAAATATAGCGGTTACAGTTCTAAATGTGTCAATCAACTTTAAGTTCCAAACATTGGCCGTTACACATTTGAATATTTTGCTACCAAATTTAGAATTAATTTAGTAACTGGTCCAAAAATAAATAATAAAAATATATATATTAAGGTGTAACAGTTTTAGCAGATTAGGGAGTAATTAATTAAAAAAATATAACTCCTTTTAGAGGGAAATGAAAATAGATTTTATTAAATATTTTATTAAATGCATCAACTAGTAATTATATAGATAATAATAATAATAATAATAATAATAATAATAATAATAATAATAATAATAATAATAATAATAATAATAATAATAATAATAATAATAATAGAAGATTGTAACATAAAAAGATGGTAAACTATAATCAATATTATTAAATTTATTATTAGTAATTAAATATAGAGAGATAAATATAAATGATAAAGTTTGTAACAGTTTTTGGAGGAAAATCGAAATGAGGTTTTATTAAAAATTATTTTGATTAGACTCTGTCATTTTCTTTTAAAAGTTATTTATTGGTAAGATAGACTAACTATATAATATATTATTTGCTATTCATTGACCATCTTGATTGTTTCAATGATTTTAAAATTGATTATCATAATATCTTTTAGATTTATTCAAATTTGCAATATATATGTAGTTAATAACTTCTTTAATGTTCTTATTGTCCAATTTTTGCATCATACGTCGTGATTGGAAAATTCAAGGTAACGATCATTTCTTGATTTTTCAAAAATGACAAAACAAAAAAATGAGACATTATTGAGAAGCATATCATTTGTTAAAATATTTGAAAGGAGAAAAATTATAATTCTATTTTGTATTATGATACTCTTAGTCATTTGTGAACTTTATAATTACGAAGTCATTAATAATATATAAATTACATATTGCAAAGTTTTTAACTTTTAAATTACTTAAAATTCAAAATTGATAATATCCCCCTATATATAATTCTTGAATATGCTGAGCCTAAGTGGCAGGCTCGCATGCTTCGGGATCCTAAGTGTCAAAATTTCATGCTTCATTATTTTGGCTCGGATAGATTTTAATTTAATTTCAATCCAAATATAATTAGGTGTGGATTACCATAAATATGTTGATTTATTTATTATCATTTTAGATGTAATAATTGTATTTTAATATCATTTCCTATTATAACTATTGAGTTGTAAATGTATTTTAAAAGTTGATAACTTATGTATTTCTTATCGATTTTACATATATAATATATCAAATTAAATATCTTTTGATGAGTTTCGATTTGACACCCATATTGTATAAAAAATATATAAATTATATTTATCTTTGTTGACGGATGTCTCCGGTCAACGGTTAATTAATTTTCGAGTGAAATTGTTTAATATAAGACAAAAGGGAAAGAGATGGAATTCTTATTTGCTTGTGGGTCAGCTCGGCGTTCGAAAGTTGCGGTCGGCCTTCTGCTGAGATTACAAGGGAATATTATCTTTTAGAGAGAGAAATATATGGTTGTTACAGCATTCAAAATGAGTTCAGCTAGCTCTTCTAAGATGGCATAAATGAGCTATTTATACTACTTTTAGCTGGACACTGTTGGGACACTGTTCACGCCGTCCCGTTGCACAGTGGGAGGGAATGACAGGCAGTATCAGACATTAAATGCAGTCAGTTTTTTGGCCATGATGATCCCTGCAGCATTAAATGCCAGCATGGGATGCATTAAATGTTGTCAGGTCTAGGCATAGACTTTTACCCTTGGGGTCAATCAGCTTGTACGAAACGTCCCATTGGCGCATTTCCGTCCCACGCCTTCTACCGATTCGCTGACCGGCCTTCACCAACGACATCCTCATACTCGACCTTGGTGTCGCCTGTAGGCCGACACTTGAGACCACACGGCCTTCTCCTTTGTAGGGTCATTCATGGAAGTCGACGTCGTTCCTACTCGTCGTCTTGACCCGGGATTCCGGAACACGTACTTGTCCACTAGATTATCGCTGAACCCGATGTTTTTATTTCAATGATTTAGCCCGGGGCCGAGTTGGTTTGGGTTCTCTGCCGGTCTGTTCCCATCCCTTCCTGATTAGGTGAGTAATCGGGAGTCAATTCGGGTATCAACATATTGGCCCCCGAGCTCGAGCGGGACGTTTGGACTGTTTCGGTCGAGGTCGCTCCATTCTTTCAAGGATCTAAACTGACCATTTGTTCGAGAGTCGCGCGACTCCGAAGAGGTGTTCGTCCCTTAATGACGCCTTGAATGATGGACGTGCGACATGACCTGATGTGACGCTCTGACTTCCACTATGCGGATGCTAGGGCGCGTGGCCAGCAGGTGCACACGCGTCGATCGATGGTGGGACGCATGAGGAACAAGTGGCGGCAATACATATTCTTAATGAGTACAATTTTACTTGTTAGGCCCAATATGTTCGACCACAATACACCAATGAGATTGTAATTTTCCTATAAAAATGTGACAATTTCATTCAAACATTAAAAATTATTTTGATTAGACTCTGTCATTTTCTTTTAAAAGTTATTTATTGGTAAGATAGACGAACTATATAATATATTATTTGCTACTCATTGACCATCTTGATTGTTTCAATGATTTTAAAATTGATTATCATAATATCTTTCAGATTCATTCAAATTTGCAATATCTATGTAGTTAATAACTTCTTTAATGTTCTTATTGTCCAATTTTCGCATCATACGTCATGATTGGAAAATTCAAGGTAACGATCATTTCTTGATTTTTCAAAAATGACAAAACAAAACAATGAGACATTATTGAGAAGCATATCATTTATTAAAATATTTGAGAGGAGAAAATTTATAATTCTATTTTGTATTATGATACTCTTAGTCATTTGTGAACTTTATAATTACGAAGTCATTATTAATATATAAATTACATATTGCAAAGTTTTTAACTTTTAAATTACTTAAAATTCAAAATTGATAATATCCCCCTATATATAATTCTTGAATATGCTGAGCCTAAGTGGCAGACTCGCATGCTTCGGGATCCTAAGTGTCAAAATTTCATTCTTCATTATTTGGCTTGGATAGATTTTAATTTAATTTCAATCCAAATATAATTAAGTTTGAATTACCATAAATATGTTGATTTATTTATTATCATTTTAGATGTATTAATTGTATGTTAATATCATTTCCTATTATAACTATCGAGTTGTAAATGTATTTTAAAAGTTGATAACCTATGTATTTCTTACCGATTTTACATCTATAATATATCAAATTAATTATCTTTTGTTGAGTTTCGATTTGACACCCATATTGTATATATAAAATAGATAAATTATATTTATCTTTATAATGATGATACAATTATTCATTAAAACTAATTAGAAAAATAAAATTATTTCTGAATTAATATATTTATGTTTAATGTAGTTATGTGTTATAAGTTAGAAAAAATATTATAATATAACACAGCTAGGTCGCACAAGTAACAAATGTCATACTGAAATATATAATAATATATTTTTATTTTATAAAAAATATTTAAATTTATAACTAATGATTTTCAACCACTTTTCCTCATTAGTTATAAATTTTTAGAAAAAATATTTTAGCAAACACTCGTGTAATACACGAGTATCATTATTTATGAGAACCAATTTAAGAGTCCATATCTTGAGATTTATAGAATTTCTTCAAAATCTGAAAATCTTATAATGTATAAATCTTAAAAAATCTAAAAATGTTTTAAGTACCGAAATTAGAATTTTCTCCCAATATATACTGGTTCGGGTGGAATAGGTAGGTACAATCTGCACAAGCGCTAGAGAGCAAGCAAAAGGGGCAAAAAAATCAGAAGAAAAAATGGGGGAAGTCAATGGAGAAGTGAAGCACATTTTGCTCGCAAAATTCAAGGAAGGCATTTCTGAAGAACAAATTGAGGAATACATCAAGCAATATGCCAATCTTGTGAATCTTATTCCATCCATGAAGGCCTTCAAATGGTATCACAACTCTCTCTCTCTCTCTCTCCCTCTCTCTCTCTCTGTGTGTGTGTGTGTGTG